TTTTTATGTTGACATCAGTCAGTGAAAACTATTTAACACTTCATTACATATCAGTATACGTGTCCAACATACGAAAACTTATTCATAAAGATTTCGTAAAATATTCCCTATTCCTGGGAAAATAGCTTTAAAACATATTTACAATTTGTCAAACATTCTCTCTAAAGATCATAGAGCAAAAATGCTGTTGTTATAATGAATTTATTTGCGTTTGCTAAATTAATTGCTTAACAACAATAAAAGGCTTAAACATGGTGTTGTTGCAGTTTGTAGCCGTTGCTTCACATGTACTACCATGCGAATATGTTGCAGGGTATAAAAGTACTTGTACATAATTTAATACAGGAAACTAATTTCCATAAGAGGCATAACAACATCAGCCAACTTACAAGTAGCTGCACTGCAACATCACCAGGAAGGCAGCAGCAGCTAACATGTCTGTCTTACAACTACATAACATATTCTATCTTTGTACCGGGGGTTTTATGTTCGATACGTTTAAATGCTTAATACCAGACTCCATGTTGTCTTCTACAAGTGACTAAATGCCAAAGATAGAACGGTGACTACACGACTGCCATGAATCCAAACTAACGGCCAAGATCAATCCGTATTCATGGACATGTGTACAGCAACAATAACTCCTACGGACGCACACTGCATTGCGAATGTAATGACAAGAGGTAATTCTCGGAAACTCGGCATACACTAAATGATATATGGGGTGACCATGTTAATAGTAATATTATTTATTTGTAATATAAAATAATGTTTTCAATAATTTAAATATAAATAATTTATAAGAAAAATACACATTTGGTTTATGTTTTATGAGAAGAACATAAGAATATATGTACAAGTAAAAACACCTTTAAGTTCGATTAGACGATCTTTTTTGCTTGTGTTCTGAAAAAAATTATGGATTTTCGGTTTGGAAATCTGTGGTAGGTACTTCAATGTACAAGAAATAAATCTGTAAGTAGGGCTATGTAAAATTTTTAAATTTATCTTGGATGTTTTTAATATTCGATAGTTTGGATTGGAAATGCAGTAATAATTTTTAAAATGAGACGGAACCTTTTGAAGAATTGCCAATTATATTTGACATTTTTACAAGTTTTCGCACTATATTCCAAACCCCTATAATGAATTTGTTCTAGCAGCACCTTTTCCCAAAAATCCATATGTGATGGTAAAGAATCCTTAGCTGACCTCCCTATATATTCAAAAGTTCGCATCGTTACCCCGGTTACTCCGGCCCGAACAACATGTGACATTTTCACCAGAGCACATGACACTCGCTTATGTTCAATCTGGTCACATATTCACATTTAAGCCTAGCAATTTTTTCTGCTCCTGGTCATCTGCAACTTATTGTTGGAAGCTCCAATGTTTTCTTAACTACATCACTGGATGCGTATGTCTGTCCGCGTATATGTATATGGTCCTTGTTTTGGGAGGTGGGGGCAGTATGTGTTTGTGCTGACGTTGATTGGGCCATGTTGCGGTCGGTCAGTTGAGCTCTACTTGACCACATCATAATCATTATGCATCATGCATCATGATATTTTAACCATAGTTGTGGCTGTTGTAACTGCTATCTGTTCTCGTGTTGCATTGAATGCTGGATGCGGCCAGGTCGGCCGGCCGGTCGGTCGGTTGCTCGTTGGTGTGTATAGCCTGTTTCAGAGACTGTCCATATTTTGTCGTTTGCCTTGTTGGACTTTAGCGTTTGTGCTTTTCTCTGGCGTTTGTTTCTCTGTTGCATTTTTTAATAGTCTTTGAGCTTTTGGTAACTATTGCTGCTAGAGTAGCAACGATCACTACGACAACTTGTGTCCACCATTGTAGATGGATATGTGTTAGGATGTGTGTGTGTGTGCGTTTGTTGTGTTGCAGTGATGTGCATACCAATCTGTTTTTGAAATCACATTACCCATCTTCTTCTGTTCTTTTTTGCTAGTTTATGTTATCATAGATGGTCAAAAGCTTTTCCTCTGAACGGACATTCGAAAACTGCCAATGAATGTTGATGTGGAAGTAATATTTGGTCAGTATCCATGTAAGTATGTATAGTTTTACAGGCGTTACATACATATATGCAAGTGAACGAGGAGAGGAGAGCTGCAGTTTGAGCACATTTTTAATAGTTAGAGCTAACGTAATGTGTTTAGTATCGATTATTTTTTACATATATGTATATGTATGTATTAAAGTCTAAATAATTTCTCAACATATTGTAATACCCTCGTTGATAAAAAAACTCGTAGTTTGTTGATATGACTTTGTGTTGCATGGATGAATTGACATACTAGCCGATGGACGCATAGTTGGTTGAATTGTTTAAAGACTTTCCTTATACCATGGATACATCACTTACTTCCACTGAAGGCTGCCAGACTAAGGAATTTCTGTCATTTTTACTTTTCTCCATCAACCCGTCAAGTACTAGGAAAACTATCTATCGTTCGCATAATTCTTACTCTGGCAATGACCATTGAAGTGTGAATTTCTTTGGCACCATTTCATTAAAAAAAAAATAAACCTCATGGCATCATGGGCTCATCATCAGTATCGTCATCTTTACGTTGATCCTTATGCCTATCCGGCAGCCCAACCGTTCGTCACTTTGCTTGTCTACAAAAACAAACGTCAGAATATGTGGTAGAATAAATTAAGTGTTGGTCTTAGCATCAATGCCAATCTATTCACGAATCCGTCAATTTCGATTTTGTTTGTATACTTTTCATTCGTATTTCTGATTCTGTTTGTCGTTTAAGGTGATGCATTTTTAATTAGAAAAATAAACAATGTCTTCATCTTCAATCTATTAGATTCGACTTTGAAGGAAAAACACATGTATGTACATCCAAATAAACACAACATGGGGTCTCAATTAGGTAAGCTCAAAAATATGATGTTATGGCAAATAGGCAATAATTTAAGTATTTTTTTTTTAATTTTTGCATTTTTTGCAAAAAATAAAAAATTGTGGATATCAAATATCATCAAATAAATTCAGTAATTACTAAAAAAACAAAAATATTTTGAAATTAATTTAGCATTTGTGAATATTCGAATATCCGCATGTATGTAATGCATAATATTTCTGTAGATTCTACATTTCTTAACAAAATTCAAATAAACAATTCAAAAAGTTATGTCCGATTATGGAAAAGAGAAAAAGTTTAAAATTATTCTTTCATTCATATGAGTTGGCTTTCCTTCATTCTTTAATGACTTTCCTCCATCAATTGTCGTTTGACAATTGTCTTCATCCTGGGATCTCCGACATTCATTCGTTCATTAATCGTCGTCTGTCTGGCTTTAACTTTGAACATTATTACCATACCCAAGTTTTGTTGGGTATTTTCAGTCGGGGAATTTGCTTCAATTCAATTATATCGGAACTGTAAACAAACCAAAGTGAAACAAAGAAACTTTTTTAGCTTTTCATTCTCGACTTTTGATTATCGCCTTGGCAATGGTTGGGGCAAATGTTTAACCAAACGCTGAGTCGTCATCCATCATTTTTTGCCATGCTGAGGAAAGTAGACGGCCTAGGAATACTCTTGTTTCGTTTTTGTTTTTTTTTTACCCTGGGGGTAGTTAGTGGGGGAAGTGGTTCCCAAGCGAATCAGGAAAGGCGAGATTTACACTCACAAAAAGCCCAGCATATGATTTGTCTATCGTTCTTTTTTCTTCGACACCGTGTATGGTTGTGGGAGAAGTGTTTTGACAAGTGGCCGATAAATTTGATTATTGCTTACCGGGTGGGGCCGAGCCGGTGTATGGCCCGATTGTTGGCCTGGCACAGATGAATGATGGACAACTGTTTGCATTTTTTGAATTTATAGCTTGAGATGTTCTTGGAGCACAACATTACTACCAGCAGCCGGTTTGTAATGGACAGATTATTACTTCTTTTCTTCCTCTTGTATATATTTCGTTTTTTGCCATTCTTGTTGTTGTGGTTGTTCCCAACAAATGTTTATTTTTATAAATTAAAAAAGTTTACTGTTTGTGGATGTGTCCATTGGTTTTTTGATGGAAAGGTAAATCAGTTATGGTATGTGGAACGTGGCGTTAAAGACAATTTTAGGGATTATTGGGCAGGGCGTTTTTCATGCGCTAAACTGTCAAGTGTCAAATATAGGATGGGAATTAAAACGATGCGATAATCAAAAGTTTTAATTTATTTTGAAAATTTCATATTGTTCGATTTTCATGACATATGTATGTATGTATATAATATTTTTTATTTATCGAAGAACTACAACTTTTGTTGTATTCTAGTAATTTTTAATAATAAAGGAAAATTTGTCAAAATCCTTCCCATAGTAATACGAAAAGTTCTGGAATGGAAAACTTCAAGAAAGTCAGAATTTTATTGCAATCCTTTAAAACCAACACAACAGCCAATCAGAAGTTCAAGTTGATTTATTACTCAGATAAATTGCTCGGGTAGAGCGACATTTTGGTTACATGTGATTCAAAGTTTTACTAGTTTTTTTGTACAATAACGATTTTCGTGTAAAAAGTTTTAAATAGTCGATTATTGTAGGTTCTAGAAAGGACCATGTTTTAAAAATGTTTTCAACCTTATTGTCTATATTTAAATAAGTTTTGGAAATAATGTTCAATAAAAAAATATGTCCATGAATCTTTTTTTTAGTTAGAGAGGGATTTTTTCATTCGAGTTTGCTAATAATTTAATTTTTCTTTCAACACAAATCCTTGGTAAATGGTTTGGATCCATTTTGTACGGTTCGTTATTTCTTTTTTTTTTGCTCAAATATTTCAATAACCAAAGGTTTTAAAAAAACAAAGTAGATTTCTTTTTCGCTTTGCACATACAATCAGCTACCAACCAACGAACCAACCGTCAGTGTCTATCTGTCTGTCTGGCTGGTGGCAGTGGTATCCAGGGTTTGTCCTACGGCATTTATTTATTCGTTTAATACTACAACAATGTTATCTTTGTTTCGTTTGTTTTGCAGGTGTTTCTGCTGAATTGTACTATGTACGCGAAGGCCAAGTCAATGATTATGCTTTAAATTTTGCCGTACCGGTGCCGGCCAACATTAATGAAATATCATTTACATGGCAGAGCCTGGCACATAATCCGCTGGCCTACAGCCTCAACATAATCACTTCGGATCCGTCAGTGCTGCCGCGACCAACGGTGAATATTTCACGTATTGGCGAAATACCCCTGGAACCGCAGACATTCGCCATTGGCATGAAGTGCTCCGGCCTGCGAGATGCCGAAGTGGAAGTGACCATTTCCGTTGAAATAATATTGGATCATCAGACGAACAACATAACTGATTTAGTATTTAGACGTAAGAAAATTTGTCTAGCCGGTCTGCAGGAGGACGGCAGCCACAACGAAGCCCATCAAAGTGTCGAACATAATGGTGGCGGCGGTGGTGGTGGTGTGTCAGGTTCTGGCTTATCGGGCATGGGCATGGGTGATGGCTTTTTGCATGACACATCGTCTGTGGTTGACAACTCACGCCTCGAGGAACACTCATCGGAGGATGGCATCAACAATCACCATTTGAGTGACAACAGTGTGAATGGCGGTGGAATGTCAATGGGCGGAGGTGGCATACTGCATGAATTTGATCCCATGCTGAAGGAGACAATAGCACCACCGACTGGCGGTCTAATAACTTTAATAATTGGTGTTGTGTTGGCGCTAATCCTTGTGACAACCTTAATCTTAATTGCTTATTGTGCCAAGGGGCCGACGAAGCGACCCAACCATCATGGTGTACATCTAATAAAAACAGCCAGCTTTCAGCGTTTGCCCACCATATCGTCGACGGCACACAACTCCATATATGCCTGCCCATCCACCATTACACCTACCTATGCCACACTGACCCGGCCCTTCCGTGAATATGAACATGAACCGGAGGAATTCAGTCGACGTCTCAACGAGCTGAACGTTCAGAAATGCCGCGTTCGCCTCTCCTGTTTGCTACAGGAAGGTACCTACGGTCGCATATATCGCGGTACCTATAACGACTGCCAGGAAGTTTTGGTGAAGACAGTTGCCCAGCATGCTAATCAGATGCAAGTGACATTGTTGCTGCAAGAGGGTATGATGTTGTACGAGGCCTCTCATCCCAACGTCCTCTCCATACTGGGTGTATCGATAGAGGATTATACCACACCCTTTGTGCTGTACGCCGCTGCAAGTAATTCCCGCAACTTGAAATTGTTTTTGCAAGAGCCTGCCTACGCTCGCAGTGTTACAACTATCCAGACAGTGCTTATGTCATCGCAGCTAGCCATGGCCATGGAACATCTGCATAATCACGGTGTAATACACAAAGATATTGCAGCTAGAAATTGTGTGTAAGTATTTAGATAGTATATTTAATAACACAATGCACATATTAATAACTTCAACTCAAAGAGGAAGTTGTTGTTTGTTTGGCCAAATGTCGGAAGTCAGACAAACAAAAACTGAGTTTGTGGATAAGAATGGGTATTTCCATGGCATCCTCTCTGACTTGAAACTCAATTGTTATTGCATACATACTTTTGTGTCTAAAATCCTAAATAGTTTTTCAGTTGAAAGAGAAAAAAGTGACGCAATTAAAATGTTTTTTCTTTATATCCTTTATTTTGTTAGTATTGATGATCAGTTGCGTGTAAAACTTTGTGATAGCTCTTTAAGCCGTGACTTGTTCCCAGGGGATTATCATTGCCTTGGCGATGGTGAAAACCGACCCATCAAATGGATGTCTCTGGAGGCAATACAAAAGAAACACTTCAACGAGGGCAGTGATGTCTGGTCTTTCGGTGTTTTGATGTGGGAGATGTGCACGTTAGCAAAAATGCCTTATGCTGAAATCGATCCCTATGAAATGGAGCATTATCTCAAGGATGGTTACAGACTTGCGCAGCCCTTTAATTGTCCCGACGAATTGTAAGTTTTTGTTTTATATGAAATAATTTATTTGAAATCGTTGTAAATATATCCTTGCTGCTAAATCGGCTTCTTTATTTCTCTAATCAATTGCAACCATTTTCTTTTTGTTCTTCTTCTTCTTACAGATTCACAATTATGGCCTACTGTTGGGCTTCTTTACCCACGGAAAGACCCTCATTTAGTCAACTACAAGTCTGTTTATCGGAATTCCACACACAAATTACACGTTATGTGTAAACCGTTGCGTTTGATATTTCGAATACCTTGTAAATATGCAGTTTAGTATCTAGGCAATCAAATCAATCCGAAGTTGGCGACGTAGATACGAGTCGCTGATGACGTCATCATCCAAAAACAAATAAAAGTAATTTATTTTTGTAGTGTGTAGATAGTACATAATCCACCCCAAGTCCCGTCCCAATCTCCTTCTACTATTAAACATAATATTATGATTTGATATATTTGTGTCATTACATTTGCTGAAAAAATCGATTTGCCCATCGATGAGGAACATTTACTGATCCAAGTGTCTGGTAATGGTAACCATCGGCAATAAGTCTCATTCCTGTGAAACTGTAAATATGTTTCGCAATTTCCAAATATCTTCCGCTATGCATTTAAAGTACATACATACGTAATTGTCATTAATGGTCTCAGCGATCGGATTGAGACGTTTTTTTATTTTTATTTTCATTTCATTTTTTTGTTCAATTTCCTACTCAGGTGTAGTTACTTCGTTATATAATGTCTGTAGCATTCAAAAATGATGTCTGTCTGTTTATACAAATCATCTTCAAACATATGTATATATACATAAGTTGACACCTTGTCATCTATGTTTGTGTTAATGATTATTATAAGTATATATAATTTATATTAAATTAGGTATTAACAAAAATATATTCTTAAGTTAAATGTATCCTTCCTTGTAAAGAACAAATGAACAGACATATGAGAAAGTACTAATAAAAATGAATAAACTTAATTTAACATTTTAACGTCTGAAAATATAATTAATTGCATTTAATTTACATGAAATTGAATAATGCCTACGTGATGCATGTTTGGTAAGTATGTAGGATATCGGGTTATAACTTAGATGGAAAGAGCGAGGAATATCTAAAAAGCACAAAGGTTTATGCAAATCATTGTTTGGTGAAGTATTCACCTAACAATCAGTTTTAATATAACAAATTAGCCGTTCATTGCATACATCGATTAGCTCCCTAAAAATAAATCTTTAGAAAGGCGATGAATTTAACTTTATAAATCAGAAGGAAAATATATATTATAAATATAATAGTTAAGACTATAACGATGATAGATTTTTTTTATAATGTTTAAACATTAGTAAAATCACTTCTTCTTTATTTAAAACCAGCATGGTACATACAAGAGGTGCTAATATGTACAATATCCTGTTGATAGAAAAGACACAGCATCTTGGTAGGACAATTGAAGTGAAATTGGGCGAAATTAAATGTGTGATCGACATAGATATTTGAGCCAATAAAAAACATACACATACCACTCTGCATGTCAATCGGACAGACTTGCATTCATTGGTGAAGCATTTGTTGAAATGGAGTAAAATTATGTATGAAAGATATATGTAAATCTGGACCTAATTGAGAAACAGTGGCATACATCATTTGGTATGCTGCAGCTCAGTGCGCTGTCCATAATTCCATTTCGCTAGGAGAAACTTTTATTATTTGGTGCACAAATTGCATGAGCTCGGACGAAAATATATAGAGGTTATATCTACATCTAAAATATTTTGCAACATGCAATAGTGTTATTTTAGCTACAATTTGGTACGTTGTGCACAAATTCGTCCAATCTGCAAACCTTTAGATATTTGGTACACCATTTCGATGAAATCGGATGGAAATATATATGGAGCTATATGTAAACCTGAGCCGATTTCAACAAAACAGTAAATGGAGCTAGATCTAGGGCGCACCATTAACATAAAATCAGACTAAAGAATATATGGGGACTAAAGCATATATGGGAGCCATATCTTAATCTGAACCGATTTCAAAAGACTCCACAGACATTTTGTCTCAATCGGACAAATATTGAGAGTTTGGTGTTCCATTTACATATATATGGAAGCTATATCTAAATCTGAACCGATTTCACCTGGATTTAAGGAAATTCATCGAATATATTAATTTTTTGAACTTATTTCACTAATTTTTCCTCCCGTATAGAGACCACAGGTCTTAATAAAGTCCAATTAATCTGTATAGAGAAAATAGGGGTTTATAAAGTCCAATTGGTCAATAATCTCTAATATATTGGCCTTTTTCAGGTTAGGGAGTTTTAAAAAAATAGCCAAACAGATTTGAGCAAATCGAAATTCTCAGATTTCTACTTATACACTTTACGTGTTGTATGCAAGAGGGCTGTTGAGTCTATGAGTCGAAATCGCCCAATTTTGCTGGGTTCAAATTTATCCCCGGAGAAAGATATATCCCATTTCCAAAAAAAAATAAATAAATAAAAAATTTGAAAGATAAATTTTAAAAAAATTGTAATAGTAGCTCAAGTTGTACACTTTTCCCTAAATATTTGAGGACACAAATGGGTACAGTACGAGTTTTTTTATACAATCCAAGATATTTAAATCATTCTCTATTCGAACTGAATGGATTTTCTCCATTTCCCGAAACTATTTATGATAGTTTTAATAATTCTGCATTTTTAAGACCCTATTAATAAATTTATAATAATTTAAAGGATTAAATTGTATCCACATACGTATATGGACGATGGACGATGTACACCCCTGACGGTTCCATTCGATATTCGATCGATGTTATTGAGAATGGACGAAAGATTCTTATTTCCAGTTTAAACTACGTATATCCTTTTTTGTTAATCATTACATCACCTTGTGTGGCACCTTAACTGTAAATAATCCCTTAACATCATGAAGCTGTCGCGGCCAAAATCTTTTTAAGACATATTAAATATATACATATATTTTTACTAAAAACGGCACGTGACAGTGCGATATATGCGTTGGTAAATATGTTTTGCTTTCACAAATATTTTCAAATCAAAATATATTTTATTCCTAAATATTTTCGTGACTCTCTGCACAAAACCATTAAAATCCATGCCACGTATTTCTTCTTTTAGTGACAGAAAGTTGCCGATGGCCTTGTGCAGGAGTAATCTCAATATTTATTCGTGCCACAGCCAACGAGGAAAACTTGGAAAATATTATTTAGGTATGTACGAATAAAACTGAACTGTATATAACTGTGAACTAAAACCAAGTTTTGTACGTGAAGATGCATTGGAATTAGAATAGCTGCAAGTCTGTTGAAAAGTTTCGACACGGCACGGTAACGGCCAGAGATAGTTTGATACAGTTTAGTAGATAATTGAGATGTTTGATAAGAGGATATGAGTAGAAAAAAAATATTTTCACACAATTTAAATATGTGAAATATTTAACAATGGATACAATGCATTCATCTAAGGATACAAATATTGACTGGTACATGGTCATTTAATAGATAATGCTGTTTTTGTTCAAAATTTTATCACCGCTGTCACCACTAGACCTTTTTATTGGTCTACGCAAAATACCGTATTTATGTAGATAAACCTCCAACTCTTAATCACTTAAAAACCAAGCTTAGTGAATTTATGGCTGATATGTGTAAACAAGTGGTAAAAAAATGAATGCTTACAAATGTTAGCATGGGGGTCATTTAAATGTTGCCACTGTCAATAAAAAGATAGAACATGAAAATATATTTTACTTACGTTTACTTTTGAAACCACGAAATGGATAACCCTACATTTTATCTCTGTAATTTAATTACAAGCTATAAGGGGCTGGCTGTCGGACACACATATATTGATGAAGCTACATCATATCAGCAAAATGCTGGAAAACAGAACGATTTTCGTATTATTGCAACAGACAGAAATGATTGAAATTAAATTTAATACTTTTGGAGAACTCTCACTGACTAGGTTTACCAGGATAGAAGGCAGCTTGTTAACAATAAAGTCCGATTATAAGCATATAGTCCGATTAGCTGAATCTAAAAAAATATATTTGATATTAGAACTATCCTTATAAAAATGTCGAGTAATATATGGGTTGAGCCTTTAATTGTTGGTCTTTACTTCTTTTCAAATAAATTAGTTTTCCTCGTATTGGATGGTACAAACACTTTCGTATTTTCAGAATTTGACATCATTGTTACTTGTTCATACAAACCTAAAGTTATCCTTGTAATATTATACTTTGTGTACTATCTATATTCTCGTATGTGGACTTTGATCATTACTTCAAAATCAATTGAAACAAATTACACATTTATAGACATAGACCGTAGAAACAACGATTTAATTAATTTTGAACAATTCGAAGATGGAGTTGATCTGAATTTTTCTACTGTCACTGGAAGTCACGTTTCGTAAACAAAGTATTGAGTATAAAAAATAGCAATGACAGAACGATGGGCATGGACAAAGCAAATACTATAACACAAACCGGACAAAATCAACAAACCGCAAATGAAATGAGAAATATATAAGCACAATGACTTGACAAATGAAATTGCCGAAGGCATGATAAGTTCTTCCTAAATATGAGGAGTAAGAACATATGTATATGTGTGTAGTGTACACATAACAGAAGATATATTCATTATATAATGTATATAAGTTGGATACGCAGCATATAAATTGATATAATTACAATTGATATATATATATATATATATATATCTCGACGCCACCGAACCATAGTATGCTAAGTCGACTTAGCATGTTTTAAAGTTCTTCACGTTTTTAGATACTACGGCCCTTAATTTAAATTTTGGTAATCATCGGCCAATCCAAACCATAGTTATAAGCAATAATATACTTAGCATGGCACGTAAGACATTTTTACAAATGATATGAGTTCGATTGCGCGGAAAAGCTGAAATTGGCACAAAATATGTCAAAAGGTAATAGTTATTTATATTTAGTTTTATATTATGTCATTAATCTGATTTCGCTTCTAAAAAGGAGAAGTAATAACTACAGAGACCATGCTAAGTAACAAAGAGGAAAATAAAGGTAAGCAATTTAAGAAGACATTAGTTCTCGTGTTTAAAAGCTTATAAAATATTATATCTTTGTGCATATGTTTGTGACAGGCAAAAGAAAACGAGATAGACCCATAGTTCCTTTTGAGAATATGTATAGAATCACTTTCTGA